TACAGTATTCTGCTTGCAGCACCAGAAGAGGGTCCCAGATCTCACTACAAATGGTTGGGAGTCCCCATGTGGTTGCTGGGAATTGAACTCAGGACCTTTGGAAGAGCAGTCATTGCTCTTAACCTCTGAGCCATCTCTCCAGCCCATGTTTCCACTTTTTTAGGGCGTCTGGGGTGGAGCCCAGAGCCTGGCATCTGGTCAGTGCTCTTTGTACTGCTGATCCACACCCCTAGTCCCAAGTAAATTTCACAGAAAGTTAGGGGAAATGTTGGACATGACCCTCACCCAAGCTCAGATTGGTTTCAGGTTGAAGAGAAGAGAACTTACTATCAGAAGGTGTGCATCGATGAAGAGACACTGGAGGTGGGGGACTGCGTCTCTGTCATTCCAGATGATTCCTCCAAGCCGCTATATCTAGCCAGGTGTGTGTGTCCTCCTGCCAAATTTGAGTGCCTGCTTTTTCATGTCAGACTGAAACCAAAAGATACCAAGGGTTTGTGTGGTCCAGTTCTGCTGGTTACATGAGATATCTGTTCCCTGTCCCGTTTTGCGGTTGCAGGGTCACGGCACTGTGGGAAGACAAGAACGGGCAGATGTTCCATGCGCACTGGTTCTGTGCTGGGACAGACACAGTCCTTGGAGCCACCTCCGACCCGCTGGAGCTGTTCCTGGTGGGCGAGTGTGAGAATATGCAGCTCTCCTACATCCACAGCAAGGTCAAGGTCGTCTACAGAGCGCCCTCTGAGAACTGGGCCCTGGAGGTGAGTGCTTCCCTCCTCTCCATGCTCCACCGCCCTTTCGGAGCCAAGGCTGACCTTGTTTGGTTTCCACAGGGCGGCCTGGATCCTGAGACCATGCTGCCAAGGGCTGAGGATGATGGGAAGACCTATTTCTACCAGCTGTGGTACAACCAGGACTACGCAAGGTTTGAATCCCCTCCCACGACCCAGCCGACAGAGGACAACAAGCACAAGTGAGTGTGTGCACCAGCTGTAGGCCTCCTCTGCCCCCATCCTGCTCTGGGAGTCCTTCCATTCTCTCTGGTTTCCAGGGAAACGTTTACTTATTCCCCAGCTGTGTTCTTAGATTTTTTTAGTTTTAGGATTTTTTTTGTTTTGTTTTTCTTCGAGACAGGGTTTCTCTGTAGCTTTGGAGCCTGTCCTGGCACTAGCTCTTGTAGACCAGGCTGGCCTCAAACTCACAGAGATCTGCCTGCCTCTGCCTTCCAGGAGTGCTGGGATTAAAGGCGTGTGCCACCACCGCCCAGCCCCAGTTGTGTTCTTTGCTGACCAAAGAGGCCTGACATGGATATGTTTAAAATGTGTGGACCTGGCCAGGTGGTGGTGCACACCTTTAATTCCTGCACTCGGAAGGCAGAATCAGGCAGATCTGAGTTCGAGGCCAGCCTGATCTACCGAGTGGGTTCCAGGACAGCCAGGACCGTTACAGAGAAACCCTGTTTTTTAAAAAAAACATGGACTATCTGGGGGTTATCACAGGCAAGCATAGCCATCTGTTTAAAAATAGTCATTTCTGCTGGGCAGTGGTAGTGCAAGCTTTTAATACCAGCACTTGGGAGGTGGGAGGCAGAGGTAGGCAGATATGTGTTCGAGGCCAGCCTGGTCTTCAGCGTGAGTTCCAGGACAACAGTGCTATATAGAGAAACCTTGACTCAAAAAGAGAGAGAGGGGGAAAATACTCTTTGTGGTGCTAGGTTGTAGTCCTGGGCCTTGGGCATTTGCTGGCTGAGGACCCTGCTGTTGATGCACACAGCCCCTGGCTTGTTTGCTAGGCTAGTATTAATTTCTATCTTTGAGCTGTGGTCAAAAGGGGCAATTCTCCCAGATATCTGCAGATACTTTTACCTCGGAGCCTTGAGTTTCTGCCCTTGGCTTCTATAGGTTCTGCCTATCCTGTATCCGGCTGGGTGAGCTGAGACAGAAAGAAATGCCCAAGGTCCTGGAGCAGCTTGATGAGGTGGATGGCCGGCTCTACTGCAGCTGTATCACCAAGAATGGTGTTGTCTACCGACTAGGCGACAGTGTATACCTGCCTCCTGAGGCCTTTACCTTCAAGTGAGTGCCCCGTCCATGGTCCATACCCGTCAGTTGGCTTGGTGATCTTTCCAGCTGCTCCCCTTAAGCTAGTGCTAAGCCTCTCCTCGTGAAGGTTCTGTCACGGGCTGGTCGTGCTCCAGGCACACTGCCTCGGGCCTTTCACTATCTGTGCTGTGTCTGGCTGAGACCTGCAGTGCTGGACAGTCAGTTCTTGGCTCGGCTCCACACCTGAGCAGCTCTGAGGTCTTGGCATAGGCTTCCTCCCTGAGTCTTTTTCTCCTTGAAGCTAATGGGATCTCCCTGCCAGAACTCCAGTGCTCTACCCCGGGACTGTTGGATGAGATCTGTGAACAGGACTACATCAGACTCCCATGTCGGAAGTCAGGGCATCATCTCCACCTTTTCATTCTACATCCTAAGCGCTAGAACAAGTTGGAATTGCAGCTCATGTTTCCAAACATAGCTCAGTATCTATAGTTGGAGGATCCATTTTCCTAGTGTCTGGTTGTTGAAATAGGAGCGGCGGGGCTGCGTCCCCAACACCCCGGCCGCTTGCTAGCTTATGCCCGAAATAACAACACACAAACTGTATTCATATAAAGACCACTTGGCCCATTTCTATCTAGCCTCTTCTAGGCTAATTCTTGCACCTAGATTAGCCCATTTCTAATAATTCGTGTAAGCACCCCAAGGTGCGCTTACCGGGAAGATTCTAGCCTACGTCCATCTTGAGTTGGAGCTTCATTGCGCATGTCTCTGAGAGCAGAGCTATCGCGTCTACCTGGAAGAGCTGAGCATGGCGTCTCTGCTCCAGAGAGCAGAGCTGTCGGGTCTCTCCGGGAGCCGAGCAGAGTCTGACCTCACTTCCTCTTCCTCCCAGAATTCTATTCTGTTTACTCCTCCCACCTATGCTTTAACCTATCAGGGCCAGCCAAGCAGTTTCTTTATTATTGCTCAATGACCTTCCTCCATCTGGTGAAACCTTAAGTCCCCAAATTTGGCTTAGTTGCTGTGACCCATGGAACTAAGGAATGAGTGGATACTTGTACATTGATGGTGTTGGGTATTTTACCCAATCTTGAAATGCTCATCTTTGGTGTCCTATAGGTTGTTCCCTGTGGTGTCATCTACCACATAGAAGCACACCAATTAGGCCACACATAAGCACTCGGGTGCCTCTAGGACTCGAAAGTCACCTGCTAGCCAGAGTGGGAGCCACTTTGGAAGATCACCTCCTATGTCCTTGTGGGTAGAGTAGCTTTGCCATGAGTTGGGCCAAATTCGAGCTTTCTCAGACTCCATCCTTCACATCACATTTGCATCGGTACCCCGTAGTCAGGGAAGTCAGACATGTCACAGCGAGTCCTCGAGGCCCGGGGCTCCTCAGCACAGTGGTTGTGCTTTTGGCTGACACCTGGGGAAATGGTACCTGTGCCGTCTTAGAAGCTGCTGTCTCCCCTAGTGCAATGTCCCCTCCTATAACATTTCAACTTGTGTTTGCTGACAGGACCTTGTCATATAGTCAGTAGTACATGGTGCTACATGGCTGGGAGGTACCTCCGGGTTGGCCTAAAACTTAATTGGCAGCTCAAGCTTACCTGGAACTCCCGAGCCTCCTGTTTCAGTCAGTTTGTTTCCCAAATCCTGGGGTGACAAGCATGTGTAGCCACAGCCCCCTGAGCTCTGGGAGCTGAGTGGTATTTTAAACAGATTTCATTTGAAATATCTTTCATTAATGGTACTAGGCTGTACCAACTCATGAGGAATCTGCTCATTCCAACCTGTCGTCTGGACTCTAAGGCCTTGCGCTCAGTTTTTCCCTTCCTTCCTCTCTGCAGCATAAAGCTAGCCAGCCCCTTAAAGCGTTCAAAGAAGGAGCCTGTGGATGAGAGCCTGTACCCTGAGCATTACCGCAAGTATTCTGACTATATCAAAGGCAGCAACCTGGATGCTCCTGAGCCCTACCGCATCGGCCGGATCAAAGCAATCCACTGTGGCAAGAAGAACGGCAAGGCCAACGAAGCAGACATCAAGATCAGGCTCAACAAGTTCTACAGGTCCGTGTGGGTTCTGCCTGCTGGGAGGCCCTCCAAGAAGGCTCTGCTGGTAGAGATGGCTGCTTCTGGTTATCCTGGGGGCATGGGTGTATTACATACTTGTTGCCTTGGTGGGGGGGGGTGTGGGTGTGGCTAAGTTGGGAGCTTGTGTCTAGCATGTGGGGTACTGTGGGCTCCAATTCAACCTGCAAGAAAAAAAAGCTGCAGAGTGGCAGGGAGTGTGTCCTGGTTTGTCTCGGTGCTTTGCCCAAACCAGTCTCTGTTCTGGTCTCCCACCACTCTCAGCCCCTCTGTTCTGGGTTTGTTTCCAGCCCTTGGCTTCACTAAACACTCCACATACACTTTATGTACTTGTGCATGCACTCCTGAAAGTCTGGCTTCTTTGTTTGAAGACAGTAGACAGGGGGCTACGGTGAAAGAAAACTGGCCCAGATGGCCTGTATGTGCTTGTTTTACCAGCATACCTAGAACTTGAGATCCCCCTGTATCAGCATCCCACGTACTAGGATAATAGGCACCTCTTACTACACCTGATTTTTCTGGAGTCTTTGTAATGATCAACGTGGTTAGAAAAGAACGGGTCACTCAGCGTTGACAGGCAGGATGAAGCAGAGCATCCCTGATCCTGGTTCCCGGGAATTCCATTCCTGCTGTGGGGTTGGGTCCAAGTAAGGGTGGTGGTCACCATGCTGATGGAACTGGGATGTGTGATCTTTCTGTGATGCTGTTTATAGGTTGAGCCAAGCCAAACCAAGTACTCAAATTATACAGCTGACCTCTCTTACAGGCTACCTCAATGTTACTTAATGCCATGTAAGGGCTGGAGAGATGGCTCAGTGTTGGCTCAGTGCTTCAGATTTGATAAGTTTAATTCCCAGCACTTAAACACATGGTGACTCAAAATTGTCTAACTCCAGTTCCACGGGATTCAATGCCCCCTTCTGGCCTTCATGGGCACTGTACTCACCTGTTGCACTGACATACAAGCCAGCAGAGTGCCCATACACACTGAATAAGAATGAATAAATCCTTTTTAAAATGCTATCTTAAGATGTCCTGTGGAGACTGGGTTGGTAGTTGTCTGTAGTCCCAGCACTTGAGGTGTTGTGGCAGGAGAATCGCTGAGCTGGAGGTCAGCCTGGAAAGCACTGTCTCAAAAAATAAAGGCCTTGAGGTATGAGGTGTACAAGATTGACAAGATCCCTGTTGTCTCACTCAACTACCCAATTGCTGGTTCCAGGCATTGCAGATGAGGGTGCTTTGACCTGTGATTATAAACTTGTGGTAAAATAATACTTACCTGGTGTCCGCTTTACAGGCCTGAGAACACCCACAAATCCACCTCAGCAACCTACCATTCAGAAATCAACCTGCTGTACTGGAGTGACGAGGAAGCTGTGGTGGACTTCAGTGATGTGCAAGGCCGCTGTACTGTGGAGTATGGGGAAGACCTGCTTGAAAGCATCCAGGATTACTCACAGGGGGGCCCTGACCGCTTCTACTTCCTTGAGGTGGAGCCAGACTTGAGGGGCAAATTGCGAGAGTGGGGTGCCCAAGAAAGCAGCTCAGTCTGGGGTGGAGCTCAGTGATAGGCTGGATAGTGCTAGACCTGGTCCTGGGTTTTTCTTGGGATAGGAGATACGAGGTAGACTAAGGAAGCAGCTGGTGTGCAGTGGGTTTGGTTTTTGTCTGTTTTGAGCTAGGGTCTCACTACACATTTATATACCCCTGAAACTCCATCTGTAGACCAAACTGGCAGATCCACCCGCTTTTTCCTTCCAAGTGCTGGGATAAAGGCTTGTGGTACCTGCCCCACCCAACCTATATAGTCTTTTGGTTTTTCAAGATAGGATTTCTCTGTATATCCCTGAACTGTTTCTGTAGACAGGGCTGGCCTCGAACTTAGAAACCCACTTGCCTCTAAATCGCTGGGATTAAAGGCATGTGCCACCACCACCTGACTTCAGTGTAGAACCTTAGGAGTAGGATTTTGACTTTGAAAGAAAACAAGGCAGCTGGCGATATGGCTTGATCCAGTAGAACTCTTGCCTAACATGCACAAAGCCCTGGGTTGGGAGGCAGGATTGGGTGTTCAGAAGATTGGTGTTGCATGCCCATGTCAGCACATGGCACAGGCCTGTGATAGCATGTGGTTCTGGAGTTCAGTGCTTAGCTTTTGCTTTTCTGGGTTTGGTTTGGGTTTTTTTGTTTTGTTTTCCAAGACAAGATTTTTGTATATAAGTCCTGACCGTCCTGGAACTCACTATAGTCCAGGCTGGCCTCGAGCTCACACAGTGCCGCCTGTCTCTGCCTCCTGACTGCTGAGATTAAAGGCATGTACCACTACTGCCCAGCTTTGTTTTTGTTGTTTTTGAGATAGAATTTTTTCTTTGTAGGGGGCTGGAGAGATAGCTCAGAGGTTAAGAACACTGCCTGCTCTTCCAAAGGTCCTGAGTTCAACTCCCAGCAACCACATGGTGGCTCACAACCATCTGTAATGGGGTCTGGTGCCCTCTTCTAGCCTGCAGGCATACATACACAGAATATTGTATACATAATAAATAAATATTTAAAAATTTTTTCTTTGTAGCCCTGGCTGCTCTAGATTTAAGAGTAAAAATTGGTGTAACATTTTACTAACACCATTAAAATTTATCTGACGGACTGTTTTGAAGGCCTCTACCAACCATACCTAGGGTCTTGGTATATGTTGGAAAGGTCCATCTCTTTGGGAAGAGTACACTCTGTCTCTTGTGACCAGGTAGTGGCCATGGTTTTGAGAAAGGATCCAAGACCCTCTTGTACTAGACCCATTTGAGCACCTGGAGCTTGGCTCTTCAATGTTGTGCTAAGTGTCCTTTTTTTTTTGTTTTGTTTTGTTTTTTGTTTTTTGTTTTTCGAGACAGGGTTTCTCTGTGGCTTTGGAGCCTGTCCTGGAACTAGCTCTGTAGGCCAGGCTGGTCTCGAACTCACAAAGATCCGCCTGCCTCTGCCTCCCGAGTGCTGGGATTAAAGGCGTGCACCACCACCGCCCGGCAAGTGTCCATTTTTTTGTGTGCATGTTTATGTGACATTGGACAGCAGGCTCCCATAATGCTCTCCCTTTCATTCGAATGTATGCTCTGGGTGCTTTAAGTAGCAGATGTTGGTGCAGACCATGAGAGGGCTAATAGAAGTGATTTTAGACAGCCTCTGTAGTGTGGAGTGGCCTCAGCCTCAGCACCATGAACAGCTGGCTACAGTCTTGTCTCTTTCCAATAATAAGATTGGCTGTGGTCCTCCTAGGGAATCAGATTATCAGACCAAGTTCTTAAGCTGTGTGTGTGTGTGGGGGGGGGTGTCCATGCATTTCTTCTTAACTAATATGGCTCATCTTTGTGCAGGCCTACAATGCAAAGAGCAAAAGCTTCGAAGACCCTCCAAACCACGCCCGCAACCCTGGGAATAAAGGGAAAGGGAAGGGAAAAGGTGTGTCCCATCTGTTACTCCCCTGTATGTATGGTTTTCATGAGACAAGGTTGCATGTTGTCCAAGCTAGCCCGGAACCCTGAAGTTTTCTGCCTCAACCTCTCAAATTCTGCCTATGTTTGGGAGGCTGAATCGGGAAGATCTCCCAAGAGGCTGCTCTTAAGGCACAAAGACAAGGTCTCCTGAAAAAAGCCTCTGAGGAGAGCCGTCTGGTGGGCCCTTCTCACAGCTGATGTCCTGTTCCTTCTTCAGGGAAAGGGAAGGCAAAGAGTCAGGTGTCGGAGCCCAGAGAGCCCGAGACAGCCATCAAGTTGCCCAAGCTCCGAACTCTGGATGTGTTTTCTGGCTGTGGAGGGTTGTCAGAAGGATTCCACCAAGCAGGTGGGTACTGGTTGTGCTGACTCTGGCCTGGCTGGGCAAGGTGAGGCGGGCATGGCATGTCTGAGCAAATGAAAACAACAAACCTCTGCTCTCTGTCCCCCAGGCATCTCTGAGACGCTGTGGGCCATTGAGATGTGGGACCCAGCAGCCCAGGCATTCCGGCTGAACAACCCCGGCACCACGGTGTTCACAGAGGACTGCAATGTGCTGCTTAAGTTGGTCATGTCTGGCCAGGTGACCAACTCCCTGGGCCAGAGGCTGCCGCAGAAGGGCGATGTGGAGATGCTCTGTGGTGGACCACCGTGCCAAGGTTTCAGCGGCATGAACCGTTTCAACTCCCGTACTTACTCCAAGTTCAAAAACTCCCTGGTAGTCTCCTTCCTCAGGTAAGCATGGACAGCCCTCTGTCATTTGCTGTCTGGCCAGATACAGCTTTGTGGGAGGGAGCCCCTCTCTGGTGGGAGATGCCTAGGGTCTGTGAGAGACTAACCTTTGCCCTTCCTGCACCACAGCTACTGCGACTACTACCGGCCACGGTTCTTCCTGCTGGAGAACGTCAGGAACTTTGTGTCCTTCAAGCGCTCCATGGTGCTGAAGCTCACGCTGCGCTGCCTGGTCCGCATGGGCTACCAGTGCACCTTCGGTGTGCTGCAGGTGGGCATCACACAGCAGGCAGAGGGCAGAAGTGGCTCCCGCAGTGCGGGCACCTGGACTGCTGCCCCCATCACTAACCGGGAGAGTGTTCAGGCCTGCTGGGTAGCAGAGGGCTGTGTGATCACTAGTGTGTTGGTGAGGATAGTAAATCTGAGTTTTACACCAGCCTGATCTACAGAGCGATTTCTAGCACAGCTAGAGCTGCAAAGAAACCCTACCTTCTCCCCCCCCCCTCCCCCCAAGACAGGGTTTCTCTGTAGCTTTGGAGCCTGTCCTGGAACTAGCTCTTGTAGACCAGACTGGCCTCAAACTCAGAGATCCGCCTGCCTCTGCCTTCCGAGTGCTGGGATTAAAGACGTGCACCACCACTGCCCAGTCTAAGAACCCCTGTCTTAAAAGAAGGAAAAACATGGGGTAACCAGGTATGGTGGCACAGGCCTGTCATTCTGGTCTTAAAAGGCTGAAGTAGGCGATCATGGGTTCAAGGCCAATGTCTCAAGATTAAGAGCTGAGTTGTAGCTAAGTGTAGCGCACTCACAAGTAACACATTGGTAACTGCACATTTGCCAAAAGTAAGCAGGGTTGGCTGGGGCCCAGTTGGTAGGGCACTTAGTAACCTTCAGTAAGCCTGGGTTCCTTTCCCATCACCACTAGCCCAAATATGGTCGCACACACCTGTCATCCCAACAAGTAGGCAGTGGGTAGGTATAGGATCAGGACTTTTAAGATGTCATCTTTGTCTACATAGCAAGTTTGTGGCCAGCCTGGGCTATGAACTCAAACATCCAATGGATGCTGAAGTCACAAGAGCCCGCATGGGGCAAGTGCTGCATTCCCACCCTTTGCCTGTGACTGTCAGGGAGTGGGGGGCCACCAGCTCCCCGTTGTCCTTACCACTTCTGCAGTGTTCCCTAAGGGGCTGTCAGTGAAAGATAAAAGTGGCCCCACAGCAGAACCTGAGATTCTGAGAATCCAATGCAAACTTGGGATTGGGGCTTTCCAGTTGGTCACCCAGAGGTCTTGCCATCCCCTTCAAACCCATGAGTTGCTGTGAGAATAGGGGAAAGACAAAAACAGGTGGTGGGTTAATATTTTGGGGGCCTGGGCTTGACAGAATTGGGGTGGCAGGGAGCTTACAAAGACAAGTGACTAATTTCTGGAAATTCATATTATTGTAGTCTTAAGGATTGGGAATTTTGCAAATGGCGTGGCCCTGGCTGACAAGCGAGCGCTGCTCTTGTTGGTCAGTTGCACTGTCGACTTGATGAGTTGTAGATGGTTCTCGGCACAGAGACCAGCTAGGCAGACCTCTGCCTGACGCCACCTGTCTCCATTCCCCTCTTAAAGGCTGGACAGTATGGTGTGGCCCAGACGCGGAGACGGGCCATCATCTTGGCTGCAGCCCCAGGAGAGAAGCTGCCTCTGTTTCCAGAGCCTCTGCATGTGTTTGCGCCCCGTGCTTGCCAGCTGAGTGTTGTGGTGGATGACAAGAAGTTTGTTAGCAACATCACCAGGTAGGAGCTGAACTCGGCACACCAAGTGCGGGACTGGCAGGAGGTCATGACTCCTGGGTCACTGGGGTTTGTGCCAGGCTCTGTGTGGAAGCTCAGTGCTATTGCAAGTCTATGCCATTCCAGCCTCAAGTTCTGCCTTGTTGCAGGCAGCTGGCTTGAGTAGAGCACATACTATAGCTGCCCCTCACATCCTGAAATCCAGCAGAGACTGCCTGCATGATATCTAAGAAGGCCCCCTCTGCTGCAGGTTGAACTCGGGCCCCTTCCGAACCATCACGGTGCGGGATACCATGTCCGACCTCCCTGAGATCCAGAATGGAGCCTCGGCACCTGAGATTTCCTACAATGGAGAGCCACAGTCCTGGTTCCAGAGGCAGCTGCGGGGCTCACACTACCAGCCCATCCTCAGGGATCATATCTGCAAGGTAGCGGTTCCTAGCTGCCCAGCTAGCTTAAACACGAAATAATCACACAAACTATTAATTAAATCAACTGCTTGGGCCATTAGCTCTAGCTTCTTATTGGCTAACTCATATTAATTTAACCCATTTCTATTAATCTGTGTATCGCCATGTGGCTGTGGCTTACCAGCTAAAGTTCCCAGCATCTATCTCTCTGATTCCGCCCTTCCTCCCAGCCCCCAGTTCCGTCTTCTCCACCTACCTAAATTCTGCCCTGCTATAGGTCCAAAGCAGTTTCTTTATTCATTAATGGTAATCCCGGTAATCCCACATCACCTCCCCTTTTCTGTTTAAATGAAAAGGAAGGTTTTAGCTTTAGCATAGTAAAATTACATAAAACATACATGAACCTCCCACACCACCCTGAGTCTGGTGCTTCCTGGGGTCTTGCCTGGCCCAGCTTCTCTCTGGGCTTACTGCAGGCTCGACATCTCGGGTCTCCCACCCCCGTGGCCAGTAGTGTCATCTTCAGGTGGCACTGGAGCAGCAAGCATCTGAGTGCCTCCCCCAATACACCCTCTAATCGCTCTTCCGTATGGACTGATACACTGGGCTGCACCGTGTGCTTCCCTGGCTGACCTCACACTGGACCCTTGCCCTATGCATTTTTCTCAGATGTCCCTCTAGGCATGCCCTTGGCTCCATTATATGGTCAGCTCTTAGAGCTAGGGCTGGGTAGCTGTCTCCTCCTGATAGGATTTGAGCCTCTGGTTCCCTTTTGTGCTTCCTGACCTGGATTTCAGCTGGGATTCCCTGTGTTCTAGGACATGAGCCCATTGGTGGCTGCCCGCATGCGGAACATTCCACTGTTCCCAGGGTCGGATTGGCGTGACCTGCCCAATATAGAAGTGCTGCTGACAGACGGCACTACCACCAAGAAGCTGCGCTACACCTTCCACGACAAGAAGAATGGCCGCAGCAGCACTGGTGCAATGCGTGGGGTCTGTTCCTGTGCAGAAGGTGGGACCCCAGGCTTTGGTCGTCCCACTTGACTCACTATCTCCACAAACGTGGATTCCATGACTACAGCCCTGTGTGGTCTGGCCGCTTGGCTTCCTAGGGCTCCCTAGCAGTCCCCACTTGACACATCTGCTTGTTAACCCAGAGGCCCTGGCCACACCGGGTGCTACTAACTAAATGGGTGCCAGAGGGGGTTAAACAGTTTTGCCTCAGCAAAGGGGTACCAGGTGCTCTGGGCCTGGATTAGGCTGCCATCAGAGCCCCCCCTCCCCCCGGGAAGCCCCTTTGCAGAGGTGAGTGCCCCAGAGAGTCTGAGTCTCCCTGTGGCCTGGCACCAGCCCTGGCTATAGCACAGTATTCTGTTGCAGCTGGCAAGTCCTGCGACCCCACGGCCAGGCAGTTCAACACCCTCATCCCCTGGTGCCTGCCGCACACTGGGAACCGGCACAACCACTGGGCCGGCCTCTATGGGCGCCTGGAGTGGGATGGCTTCTTCAGCACCACTGTCACCAACCCTGAGCCCATGGGCAAGCAGGGCCGTGTGCTCCACCCAGAGCAGCACCGGGTGGTGAGCGTGCGGGAGTGTGCCCGCTCCCAGGGCTTTCCGGACACCTACCGGTTCTTCGGCAACATCCTGGACAGACACCGGCAGGTTAGCCCAGCACCAGAGCTTGTTGCCAAGCGGCCTCAGCTCTCATGTAGGGAGTGGGGCCCAGGGCTTGAGTCCAGCTGTGTCACTGAGTGTGGGTCAGCAGCAGCAACACAATAGTACAATAGCACAAATGTCATTCCCCGGCTGGCTGTCCCTAGTTAGAAGGTACAGCAGAAATCCTGGCCTGGCCTGGCCTGGCCTGGGCTGGGCTCCATACAGACCAGCCCCATGCTCCCTCAGGCCCTTGTTTGGCTCATAGTGGGAATCAAAGTGGGTTTGGGAGTCTGTGTTTTGCTTCCAGATTTTCCTAAAGCCTTTTAAAAGGCTTTAATCCCAGCACTGGAGAGGCAGAAGCAGGTTGATCTGAGTTCCCAGCCAGCTTGGTCTGTTTAGAGAGACCCCGTCTTGAAACAGTAAACAAAGAACTCCCTGTTAGTGGTCTGTGGGTCTGAGGGCATCACAGTGGAAGGCCTGTGCCACTTGAGTAGACTGAGTCCCCAATGTCCAGGTCACTTGTCCTGCCTTGGTCAGAGCTGAGGCAGGACAGTGACACCCAGTGACAATCTGGTGTTGCCTCTTTCCTTCCCACAGGTGGGTAACGCCGTGCCACCACCACTGGCCAAAGCCATTGGCCTTGAGATTAAGCTCTGTATGCTGGCCAGAGCTCAGGAGATGGCCTCAGGTAGGTGCCACCTTCCTCTAGGTCCTGGGACTTGGGCACAGCCCCAGCTCCACATGAGGGCAGAGTAGTGGAAGGGAGGGCTGACCGACATGGTCAGCAGCCTCCAGGGTGCAAGAACTGCCGTCAGCTGCTGCAAGTTCTCCAGCCGTGAGCTTGCATGCTCAGGGTGACTTCTGCTTTTCTCTCTTCAGCTGCAGTTAAGAAGGAGGAGACTCCCACGATGGAATAGTCCTGCTCTCGCCCAGAGCCCCGTATGCACTGATGTTTTTACCTGTCGAGCCCCAGCATTTGAAATGTCGTGCACAGCGTCTGTGGCCATGGCGACACTAAGCTGTTTGTGAGGTTGCTTTGTGACCAAGCCGTGCAGTACTTTGTGCATTCTGGATTTTAAAGTTTTTTGGTTTTTAATTCTGTATTCTATCAGATCTGCCAATGCAGGTGGCAAACAAGACTTGATGTAGTTTTTATATGTTGTAATATTTCTTCAAATAAAGCGCTTCTATAAAGCACCCAGGTAGTGACTGGTGTCTCTCACTGCTTCCCCACGAAGAGGGGAAAGGACCTCTGGCTTGAAGGCATACGTGGAGGTGCATCTACCTCATGGGATACATTTCTGTGACTCAGTTTTGGATAGTGAGAGGCAAATGGAACTTTCTGATAAGGCTTTTCAGAAAGCCTCAAGAAAACGGTCTTGGGGCTGGAGAGATGGCTCAGAGGTTAAGAGCATTGCCTGCTCTTCCAAAGGTCCTGAGTTCAATTCCCAGCAACCACATGGTGGCTCCTAACCATCTGTAATGAGCTCTGGTGTCTTCTTCTGGCCTGCAGACGTACACACAAGACAAAATATTGTATACATAATAAATTTTTTTTTAAAAAAAATGGCCTTGGGGGCTTGGGAGGTGGCTCAGAGTTTGAGAGTACTGTTCCCAGCGACCACATGGTGGCTCAACCATCCATAGTGAGATCTTGTGCTCTTCTGGCATGCAGGCAGAACACTGTATACATAATAAATAAATTTTTTTGGGGGGGTTTTTCAAGACAGGGTTTCTCTAGCTTTGGAGCCTGTAAATAAATAAATCTTTAAAAAAAATGATTTGGCTATCTTCATGGCTACTTTATCCTTTTGTTTTGGAGTTGACTGACTGGTGTCTGGTAATGCACAGCTGTACTGTGATCATGAGGACATCATGTCTACCCTTAGGCAGAGCTCCAGTTGGCTTATGACCTGCCTGGGTGGTCTGACTTGATGTACTAATTCTACGTGAACAGAACTTTAGTTTATCTTTAGGAAATGTCAACTGTAAAATGCAAATATGTTTATCAAATTTACCCTTCACTTCGTGAGTCACAAATGTGCCAAGGCCAAGGGGCAAAGTGACTCAGCCCCTCAGCAAACAAGTATGACCTGAACTTGTGAGAGCATCCTGGAGCCCTTCTCATCTGGCTCAGAAATGTCTGCGGAAACGCCGGGTCACTGGGCATACCTTTTTCTTTGTTTTGTAACCATGTCTGACCACTGTGTTCACTGTGTAGCTCTGGCTGGCATAGTAATCGTGACAGTGCTTCTGCCTCTGCCTTCCAAGTAGTGCTGGTTACTGTACTAATCTAGCAGCAATCTTCAGGCCTCACTAAGTAGCCTAGGCTGGTTTGGAGCTCAGTCCTGCCTCCCCTTCCCCACACCCAGCTAGGATAATCGGAGGTGGTGCAATTCTGTATGAGTGGAAGCCAATGCCTCTTGTTACTGTCTTTCAACAACTCCATGGGCTGTTTTCCCTGGAAAGTGAAGGTGCAAGGGTCACCTCCGTGTTGCTTTCTTATAATGGACAATACAAGCTGCCTCTTCCACACATACTGGCCTAGCTCAGGCGTGCAGAGTCCCAGGTGGGCTGCATGGCTGAACCACCGGACATTCCTCCCTTCAGAGCTCGTGTTCAGGCTTTGTTTCCAGGAACAAAAACCAGAAATCTAGGATCCCTGCTCAGAGCAGGGCTAGATAGTTTGAGTTTGGCAGTGTCATAGCTTGGGCTGGCTTTGAGCCTGCTTGCACTAACACCTCTTAACTTACAGGGCACTGGGGATAGAACCCATGGTGGGCAAGCACACTACCAACCGATCCAAATCCCCAGCTAAACTGGGCGGTGGTGGTGCACACCTTTAATTCCAGCATTTGGGAGGCAGAGGCAGACATCTGAGTTCAAGACCAACCTGGTCTACAGAGTGAGTGCCAGGACAGCTAGGGCTACAGAGAGAAACCCTCGACAACTTTGAGAGTACACTCTTCCACCTGTGTGTGGGCTCTAGGGACTCAGTTGCCAGGCTTGCACATCAAGCACTCAACCACAGAGTTATCTTGCCCCAGGGTTTTTTGTTTTTGGGTTTGTATCTTAACTATGTACCCCATGTCTGTCTGTCCTATGAACAGGTGACAGCATCGTGACCAAAGCCACTTACAGAACGCTCAATTGGGGGCTTGTTTCCAGTTTCAGGGTCTGTGATCATCATGGCAGGGCAGCAGGCAAGCATTGTTGTGGGAGGTCCTTCCGCCCCTCCAACCAATAGCTGCTGTGATACCAGCCCATTGGGGCGTGGTCTCTCTCCCTTTAAAAAAGCGGCTATTTCCTCTGCTCGCTCTCTTCACTTCCTGCTCCGCCAGAGACTAGACTCCCTTCCTGGTTGTGCAGATGGCTGTTGTCTGAGACGGTGATCTGTAAGTTTTCCCCTTTAAATAAATAACACCCTATTAATCATAACTCCAAACTGGTGTGGCCTTGTTCGTGACTTACGCCTTCATCTGGCGCCCGAACGTTTGGCTTTT